AGGTGAAGACAACTTTCTTTTGGATAGAATAAATATGGATCCCAAATGAATTTATGCAAGGTGTCTGTTATTGTTGCTGTTTCCTGACAATATTTACCATTAAATATACCTCTTTTAGATGTAGAAGAAAAGGCATCAGTGATTCAATCTCATGCAACATTTCATTTGGTAAGGAAAGGATCAGATACCATTTGTTTATACATTTTCATTTCATCATCTAGCCTTTACAATGTAGCAAATATCTAGGAACTTTCAGAGGATGAGTGATAACAGAAATGAGTCACCCACACAAAATAGCTGGCCTTTTGTGAAAAAAACACTGGTCTTTGTATTTTGCTATTTGAAAGATTGATAGTTTCATTGATATTGAAGGTCTTCACTTAGGTTGATTCTAAAACATGTGCCCAAGTAATTTTCAAGAATGGGAGAAAAAAAAATACATGGTACAATTTTAAATATTCCCATCATTATTTTCCAGCTTAGATCTGGTACTTTGTTATTGATTTTAGAGGCCACTTTGACTGGGAAGAACATTTGTAATGAAAACGTGGCATCGGTATAGTCTTGCTATTAAAACACATTTTTATATTTTCCTATCGGATCCTGTCTCCAAGTGACAATCATGTGATGAAGACATGGTACTAAGATTGGGGAGTGGAGACACTTGAGGTCTTGTCCACCCCTAGCACAGAATCTGGACCCCTAGCACAGATTATGGACCACTCAGTCTTAAAGAACCTCAGAGGTTTGTAACGAGAATAGGGAGCCCTCTGCATGCCCAAATAAAAAGCAAGATTTATAATAATGATGATGATGATGATGATGATGATGATGATGATGATGATGATGATGATGATGATGATAAAGTTGGAAGGGATCTTGGAGGTCATCTAGTCCAACCCCCTGCTCAGGCAGGAAACCCTATACCATTTCGGACAAATGGCTGTCCAGTTTTTTCTTTAAAACTTCCAGTGTTGGTGCATTCACTGCTTCTGGAGGCAGGTTGTTCCACTGGTTAATTGTTCTCACTGTCAGGAAGTTTCTCCTTAGTTCTAGGTTGCTTCTCTCTTTAGTTAGCTTCCACCCGTTGCTCCTTGTCCTGCCTTCAGGTGCTTTGGAAAATAGCTTGACTCCCTCTTCTTTGTGGCAGCCCCTGAGATATTGGAACACTGCTATCATGTCCCCCCTCGTCCTTCTCTTTGTTAAACTAGACATACCCAATTCCAGCAACCGTTCCTTATATGTTTTAGCCTCCAGTCCCCTAATCATCTTTGTTGCCCTTCTCTGTACTCTTTCTAGAGTCTCAACATCTTTCTTGTTGATTATTAATTTAAATTAATAAATATAAGAAAGGGTCCTATGCGGCAGTCATAAGATCCAACATTACTGAACTGGTAATTCATGAGTGGTATCACATTTAGAAACTAATCATTTGAACATCATGGGAAATTGTTATTTTATTATAGCTCCAATTGGAAAGTTTGATTAGTTGGCAGATTGGTGTGGGAAAGGGAGAGGCCTTTGATGTTCACAGCTTTCTTCCTTTTTTTCCCCCTTCATAATGTTTATCTTTCATTTGTGTAAAGAGAAGTGGTAAAAGAAACATATATAATAATCTAAACATTGCAAACTGATTTACTGTCAATACAGAACACTGACATTCTACTCACTTTACAATAACATGGGCAGTTTTGTCTTCAACTAAGTATTTTAATAGCTTGCACAACAGTGCTCCTATTAATTTTTAAAACCAGAAATGTTCCAAAATTGTTGGGTTATTTTTAGGGTATATATATTTATTATCATCTATTAAGAATGAGATGGCATGAGTATGCTCGACTGGTCTCACTAATTCTGCAAATTAAAATAGTAAACTGTTATATATTATTTGTGCAAGTTAAACCCACATTTTCTGCTATTGCTTGCTACAGTTTTTTTTCTTTTGAAGCATCTATTGTCAGTTTTCTCATGTAGCTTCACAAAAGGGATGTAATCATCCAATCTAATAATTCTGATGATAAATCCTGATTCAGAGCAAGAGCATCCTCACTAATTCTCCCAACAACCGACCCAATCCACATCATAAAAGAACAAATGGTACAATGCACCAGTATTGCACAATTGGAAATGGCACTTCAGTTTGAGTCCTAACATGCTGGAATTGCTCTCCTTAAATAGAAGTAGTCATTATACAGTGGTCCTTGTCCTTCTGTTCTTATCAGTGAGCTAGATAAATATAGGTTTCACTAGATTTTTAAATAGCAGTAGGCTTAGGCACAAGCCTAAAAAAGAGTTCAAAATACACCCGAGGGTTGCTACTTTGAAACTAATGCAAATACAGGCAGTCCTCAACGTATGACACAATTGAGCCCAACATTTCTATTGCACAGTGAAGCAGTTGTTAAGTGAGTTGTGCCCCATTTTATGACCTTTCTTTCTGCAGTTGTTAAGCGAATCACTGCAGTTAAGTTATGACACAGTTGTGAAGTGAATCTGGTTTCTCCATTGACTTTTGCTTGTCAGAAAGCCACAAAAGGTGATTCACATGACCCAGGGACACTGCAACCGTCATAAATATGAGACAGTTGTCAAATGGCTTAATTTTGATCACGTGACCAGGAAGATGCTGCAGTGCCAGTGGTCATAAGTGTGAAAAAGAGTCATAAGTCACTGTTTTCAGGGTTGTAACTTTGAATGGTCACTAAATGAACTGTTGTAAGTTGAGGGCTATCAGTACAAGCTTTTTAAAATGTTTGGAGTTGGTTGGATTCATTATCCTTTGATATTAAGGATCAGAATATCAACCCTCATTCCTTTTTCATTCCCTTCATTTGTTTGGAATGGTAATGGCCCCAGTGTATAGTTTGAAGACCCATGATAAGTTAACTTTGTTGAATGCTGTCAATCTTGTCTAAAAGAAAAGAGAAAAAAATTACAGAGAACTCTATAACTAAGTGAATGCCAGCCTCCAAAACAAAAGATCTGGTAACCATTTTTTATTTATTCCATTAATTTAAAAAAATGTAAATATAGCTAATTTAATTAGATTGGGTTTGAAACGTGCAAATTGTTGCAATTAATTGTATACATGGTCTTTTCTCCATAACGCAAACTATTTAGAAAGTACTATATATCTTAGAAGTACTTGCCAGAGGGAGCCAAAAGCTCATTTTAAAAGGTTGGATTTGACGTATAGCACAGTGCACAAAATAGAAATCTATTGCGTGTGATTCTTGACAGGTTTTTTCCCATTGGTGGAAGCATTTGGAATTTTGAATAACATGAAAGACATGGTAGGCACTGATTTCTAAACGTACTGCTTTGCCATTTCTCTTAACATGCCACAAATACCTATATTTTTTAAAAAAAAAAATCTCAAAGCAAAAAAATAAGTAAAAATAAGTAAATTACTCTAGAATACGAATAAAGTAGAAATGGGGTCTGAGCCCCAATGCAAACATCTGAATTAATTTTTAACTTCCTGTTAATTAGCCATTATAAAAATACACGGTTTCATCAAAACCCAAATAGAGTAAATGCGTTCTCTCCTTCTATCCTGGTTTCCTAGTCCCATTTGTTCCCCTGCCTCACTGTCATCTAAATCTTGCTCCTTTTTAAGGCACCCTCCATGCCAGCAGGCTTTTCCTCCCCTCTGCCTCCCAGCTGGCCAGGAGAACTTAAAAGCAAGAGTGTGCCTCCAGCCACTCCTAGCCTTTATTTCTGAAGAATTTCTCTGAGTCTCATGGGAGCCAGAGGCATTCTGTGGAATAAAGATGGCAGACAGCATGGAGGGTTAGCTCATTACTTTGAAGTCTTCCCTCACATAAAATAAATTGCGGATAATACCAAAGTACTTTGTAGACAGAACAGAAGGTGCCTGTGGATATCATGTTGCTTTATCCCCTCACAGGCATAAGCCTGCTCACATAATACAAAATTTACATTCAAGAGTTCCCCCTCCCCTTTTTTTTGTATAATATAGTGAAAAAAACAATTTCAAGACGAAGGGACAAGAAAAGACAGCAGCAAATCTTTCTCTTAGCAATCAGTTTAGGCTGTTAATGTTGCAATGCATTTTTGATGGACTTCCATTATACATGCTTGTTATTTGTACAGTGCATAATAATAATACAGAATGGAGGCGATCTGAAGCTCTCTTGTGCTATTGACTAAACGTTTGGCATCAGAAGAAGTTGAAGCTGTACCGCAGTGTTAATAGTTTTAAGTTAACTCTTGGCATTACTTTAAAACAATTATGCAAGATCTATCACAAGTACTCCTCTTATCTTATCTGAATTGCCATTCATCCTGTAAATGATTTAAACATACACTATTCCATTATTGTCTAAGAGAGATAGAAGAGGATTCTGTTAAATATTTGTACTGTGAGTTATTTTAGTTGCTTTGAGCCAGTTTAGAAGTTTTTCACTTTACAGGTTTTGCTTTAACGTATCGTAAGTTCCCAAATTAATCACATTGCGTATTTGCTGACTAGTCTGTTCTGGATAGTTGAATGGAAAATGGATAATAGATTCACAGTATTCACAGGTTTAAATCATATTTGCAAAATAAATGCCATTCATTGCAAACAACAATTAATCTTGGGATCTCTTGTTATAGATGCATTTCAGTTTGGCACCTAAGTTATAAAACACAGGAAGCTGTTTTATAGTCTCAGTAAATTAGTCCCACAGGCCTAATGCTGTCCTTTAGAAGAAGCAATAAACATGAGCTTGCAGGAGTTTTTATATTATTTTTTCTCTGTCAGCAAAGTAATATTATATGTCTTATTCTAGCCAGTACAATTATTGGCCTGCCAGGGCTGCTGTAGGAAGGAACTGGCTACTTCGTGAGAGGGGGAAGAAGGGGGGAGACTTATTATATGTGTAACTGTCACGAAGGAACTTAAGAAATCCATGAATGGTGCAAGCACACTTTCTTATATTTTGTTTCCTTGTAATTCTGGAAAAACACATTGCATTTTTTTAATATTGTTTCAGGGTTTACAAGATGAGATTGAAAGTTACTGCAATCAGGTTCATTCTGCAGAAGAAAAGCTGCAACAGAAAGATCTGGAGACACAGGAACAGGTATAATTCTTTTGCTGAGAGATTTCTGCTTTTTAGAGAAAGGACAATAAAAAGCACACTTGCATGCACCTATATATGAAAATAATCTCTTACTTGATAATATAGTAGACATTTTGCTGATTTTTGTAGGATTTATATTTTATTTTTATTACTAAGAAAGGTGTCTGTATCAAGCGCTAGTGCCCCCTTTTTCTGTTTACCTTTTCAGCTGTTGAATGAGGCACTGTATTGTAAATGAAAATACTATTTTTATATTTATAAAGATAGTATAAATTATTTATTTGTTTGTTTGTTTGTTTGTTTGTTTATTCATTCATTCATTCATTCATTCCCGGGTATTTATTTAGGCCAGGGGTAGGCAACCTTGGCTCTTTTATGACTCATGGACTTCAACTCCCAGAATTCCTGAGCCTGCATGACTGGCTCAGGAATTCTGGGAGTTGAAGTCCACGAGTCATAAAAGAGCTAAGGTTGCCTACCCCTGATTTAGGCTATTAATTTATCAATCTTTTTGGCAAGCTATATTTTCTGAGTGAAATTTATGAAAGGAGATTGATTTATATTTGGTGTATATAGTACTTGATTTCACATGTCCTGAGTCTCATGCTATACATTTATTTTTAAAATAAATAATTGTGGGAACATATATTAAACTATGGGTCAGCATTTACAAAGATGAGCAGTTCTAAGCTCATTTGCAGATTCACTTGCTGTCCCTTCTTTCTTGCCTGAGAAATTCTAGTTGGGATATCTGGAGTTGCTCAAACCGAGATTAGTTCACAAATTAGAATTTTAAAATGTTTAAATGAATGAAATTATGGCCTTCTGGTTGAGATCTATCTGCCAGCAGAAGTGACAGTATGATGGGAAATTCTTTTCTGCATCTCTCTGCACAGTTCTAAAATCAAAGGATTTCCCAGCCTCCTGGATTAGATGTGCATGGTGTACATACAATGCATGATGGGAAGAAAAGATTTGCTCTCTTGTAGAAGCAGCTGTTTGTATGTCTTTAGATATTAATGCAAAGTGGAAATAAAAGCTTTAAACTTCTAGTATACTCACGTAGTAGCTTATATTTTCACTGATATCTCTTTTTTTCTTTTAGTCATGTTCCTGATCTTTGCCTTAGGGTAGGGTTTCCCAACCTTGGGAATTTCCAGGAACGTGGACTTCAACCCCCAGAATTACACAGCTAACATGACCTTTGGTGAGAATTCTGGGAGTGGAAGTCCACATCCTTGAAATTTCCAAGGTTGGGAAACACTGCCTTGTGGGATTATTTAAAATCATGATATTCATGCATTTTAAAAGGAAAAAGGTGCTGCATGAACATCAATGGATTTCTTTCTTACTCAACATTTAATTTTGTTGCTTGTTAAGAATACTATTGAAACATTTCTAGAAAGGAAAAAAAGTTAGCATCACTAATATACTTTATTTATTCAATTTGTTGTTATGCCTAAATCATTTTCTCCATGCTTGTCTTTAAAAAAAATAGGGATATAGATCAACAACTCAGAGAATTTCCTTCTACTATATAGTGGCTATTATCGCATATCCACATTTATATGCATCTTGAAGGGGAAAAAAGTATATAAATATTTTAAATTCTGCATTTTCTTCTATAAGTTATTTTACTATAATTTATTGTAAAATAGCACTATTTATGTTTGTCTATTATTTTAATAGATTAGTACTTCATATCCAATATTTCAGTTCTAAGTCAAATATTTAGTGTGCTCAAAATAGAAAAGGAACAGTAAAATATGGAAAAGAAATTCTGCTTGAATATCTGGTACTCTCTGGTGCCCCACTTGAATTTCACATTCATGCACATGCATATTACTAGGGAAATTATTTAATGTAATTTTAATTCAATTCATAGCTAATATCTGGATTATATATGTAGCGGCATGATGTGAACATGAAATGATAGAATCCTAGGAAGGATTACATTTTTAATATTCCCATATATTTTTTAAAAAACAATAAATTAATAATTTCACTTCTGTAATAACAAAGTGACCGGAAAAATTAAGAACCCAATGAAGGATAACCAGTCGATACATATTTTATTTTGTGTCAGCTAATTAATATTTATACTTTAAAAGTAGTATTCATAGCAAGGCTAAAAGGTACAGTATCAGTCCAAGTCCATCTAGGCAGATTTGTTTTGGGTTTTTTTGCATTTAATTTGAATGAATAAAGAATGTATTTTAGAACTAATATTTTGGACAAGAAAATGTTTGTATAACAAACACTGAACTATTAGGGGGTGAATAAGTAAAGTCATGCTATGCTTCTTTGTGAAGTTTTATGTCTACCATATCAGCTTGAAGTGTATACATGCTTTTCACAGTTAAACTTTGAATCCAAATTTGCATTCATGTATTCAGACATGCAATCATATAGAAGACACTATCTCCATAATTCCAGATCCCGTCAAAACTCCCATCTTACCAGGATCAACTGATTTATTGATCCTTGCTCAACCCATCACTACCACTAGGCAACTGTCTAGCACTCCTGATTCATATTGAATAGAGATACATTAGTGTTACCATGTCCCAAACTTGTAGATCAGGGGTGTCAAACTGCCGGCCTGCAGGCTGGATGCGTCACGCGGAAGCTACGCCCACCCCATTGCCGGCAATGGCAAAACTGTCCCGATACATTGCACGACATCACGTGATGTTGCGAGTTTGACATGTCTGTGTAGATAGCAGTAGGAGAAGGGAAAGAACAGAATTCAGTGAAATAAATAAGTTGAACAGGAATTATCCATAGCTATTTTTGGTAGCAAGCCTGCAGCTAGAAACAGAGTTATTGCAATGCAATGCTGCCTTTTTACTTCTCAGGCCATAGAGCTGTCCCATCAAGATTTCATGCTTAAGGGACCAGATGCTGCTGAACAATCCAAGAGGAAGAACAAATGTGACCAAATCTGTTTCAGTTTTGTATCCAAACCTGAAACCAGATTCAAATCGGTCAACACAAGCAGCTTCCTCCAAATGCATCTGTAGCTAACTAGCCATTTCCCAAGAAAGATATGTCTGTAATTGGGTAGTTACTTTGTAAAATCCTTCAGGGACAGCTTCCTCGTGAAAAGTCGAATTACACTATTTATTCCATAATGAGACATCAATTACTACCTAGAAAATCCACCTCTATCCCATTATATGTTTGTCATCTATGAAGTAGAATGCTGTAGCTTAAAAAAAAGAAAAGGCCCCATATAGAAAAAAGTGACTTAGTAATGCACTTACCCAAATATTCACTTGTACTGATACAGATAGTCCTTGACTTATGACCACAATTGGGACCGTAATTTTGGTTGTAAGTTGTTGGCAGTTGTAGGTTGAGGCACAATGTGATCAGACTCAGTTTTATGATGTTTATTAAATGAGTTACTATGGTGTTCAGTAAACCATGTGGTCATAAGTATGAAAGCATTTTATCCAATGAGAGTTTTATGCTGGAAAACTGCAAACAGTGTTGCAGAATGTGATCCCATGACCACAGGTTGTCAATGTGCACAAGGTGGCAAGTGCCCAAAATGCAGTTATATGACTGTGGGAATGGTGTGGCAGTCATAACTTTGAGGACGAGTCATAAGTAACTTTTTTTCACATCCATCGTAACTTTGAACAGTCATTAAGCGATTGGTGATAAGTTGAGGACTATCTGTACTGTTCTCAGTATTTTTTTTTCCCAAGTCTGATTAGGACTAGGAGAATTAAAAAAATGTTTTGCATGCTTTTATCTGAAGCAATTAATTATTTAGTGTTAATTATTCTGCAAAGTAAAATGTGAATGGGCCACCTCAAAATGTTAGCTTCCATTCATTGTTGATCCTTATCCACGCTAGCTACAAATACATCTGCAGAAACCAGTAATGATAATAAAAAAAACCTATTTGGGACTTTTCTCTATTTCTGTAAGATACTATTGTATTGAGACCACATTTTAGAAAGGTTCAAAAATTGCTTTGGCATAGTTACAAAAGGCAGTTTCATGGGCTTTTACAAGTCTGCATCAAGTAAAAAAAAGCTTATTTAAATGCTTGCTGTTTTTCATTAAAAGGAAAGTCTTGTGTTTTGATTCTATAACAACAACAAACAAATGAATGAGACATGAAAAAAACTGTGGTTTTAATTAAAAGCACAAGACTGTTTCTTATTATTTCTTATTGGGTGGTATCTTAGTTCTCCATGTTTGCCTTGTTTTTAGATGAGAACTGTCTCTAAGTTTATGCTCATATCTAACATTCACTAGAGAGCAAGTTACATGCTACTTTGCAGCCATGTCCAATGAAGTCCTGATGTGTGCATTCTTAATAGCAGCAGTGCAGCTACAATGTTAGTGTAGGAGGAAAGAGTTAATTCAGGTTCAGTCTAGTTCAGACTGCTTATCTAGAGACTGAATGGGTTTTTTAGATAGGAATCTTGCTTAGCCCTACTGAATAACATTTTATACTAAAGCATGGATTTTCTCTACATGACCTGCATATTTAGTCACTGATTTATAGCTTTTCACCACAACTTTTTAAACCTGGAACCTGCAGATCATCCTGATTTTTAATTTGTAAGGAGTCAGTAATAGTAACAAAAAACTGGGTCCAGATGAAGTTATCATCTTTTAAAACTCAGTCTTAGCTTGGAATGATTTTATGGCTAAGATCTCAAGGATTATTTGATTTTGCATTACTCTTGATAATTCATTCACATACAGACTCACATGGAATCAAAGAACAGTGAAGCTCTCTGTAGTAAAAATGGAATAGTTCATTTCTATCCCAGTTTTGCCTGATTAGAGATGCATAGTAGAATGAATCATGGTGCCCAGTATTACTCTACTAATAGGTACATGGAAGTCACCAGTGAAATCTTTGTAAAAAAAATAAAGTTTTTCTGGTGAAAAACAAGAATTATTTAGTTTCAGGGTGAAACAATTTAAAACGAACACTTCCCTCAACTGAAATTAAAACAATCTGTATCTAG